GCGGTTTTTCAATCCCAGGACTTTCTTGAGGGTCGGGGACGACGACGGGGTGGTGTGGCGGTGTATACGTTTTCCCTCCGTTTTCCCGTGGAAGCAACGAACCATGTATACACCAAGATCCGTATACACCAGGATCCGCTTTTCTGTGCGCATTTCAGTGCGGGGCCGGAAAAAGCGTCGGTGTATAGAGTTCGGTTCCTCACATCTTAGACCTCTTCTGGGCCTGGGGCCACCCTGGGGTTCTTGGGCGTTCTTGGGGCCGGCATCGGAGGCGGAACGGCAAGACGCCAACATGCACCTAGCAACCATAGGATTTGTAGTTGTGCTGGCCTGTCATCGGGGGTCGCTTGAGGAGGCTCCGTGGGCATTTGGAGCCGCCTCGAAGTGGTCTTGTGGCCTCGTGGAGGCTTCTTTGTGTTCGTCCTGCCACCCATCGTGGGCTAATTTGAGCCGTCCTGCCACCCATCGTGGGCTGCCCGAGGCCTCCTTGGAGACATGCTGGGCCATCCTCGACGCCCTGGCCGCACGCGGGGACCCCCGTCCAGACCCAGGGGAGCCAGGCGAGGGATGGGGGCAGGGGTATGCCCCTCCCCGAGGAGGAAGAAGGAGGATGGAAGCTTCGAGCAACCATCAGGAGGGGAACAAAAACACACAGACACAATCAATCGTCGATTCCCCAGAACATATGGGAAAATGTGGGAAAATATGGGAAGTGGGGGGGGGGGAAGACGAAAACCCAGAAAGTATGGGAAACTATGGGGAATCCTTTTGTTTGTGTGCATTGATTTGTGTGTCCCAGGGCCCCTTCCAACCAAAATTGCTTCAGCACAATTTCGGTGGACACCTCTTGGATCTGCGCCCTCGTTCGCCCTGGCGGCGCCTCCGCGCGCGCTGGGGGAGAGGGGGGCCCATCGCCGATCCGAGGCAGCCTCTCGGGCCCCTCAGAGAAAGCGTGTCCTTGCCGCTCCTCCTCCTCCTCCTCCTCCTCCTCCTCCTCTCCTCCTCCTCCTCCCCTCCCCTCCCCCTCCCCTCCTCCTCCTCCTCCTCCTCCTCCTCCTCCTCTCCTCCTCCTCCTCTCTCCCTCCCTCAATCCTCCTCCTCCTCCTCCTCCTCCTCCTCCTCCTCCTCCTCCTCCCTCGTCGCATGTCCTTGCCGTTCGTGCTCCTCCAGCTGCAGCGGACGCTTGCTCGACCACCTGCACCCAGCAGAGGGCCGGTGGCACTTGCCGGCCTGTCCCTGGAAGCCCGTGGCTGCGACGGCAGGCGCCCAGCACGCGGGGAGCCCCGCTCTGCTGTTTTTGAGCCCCCTGGCGACGGACGGCCCAAAGCCCGTGTCCCGGGTCAGTGGGTCAGTGGGTCCCCGTGGTGGCAACGGCCAGAGCTCGTGCTGGACCAATTTCTTGCAGCATGATGCTTCCGCGTGGGCCCCGAGCTGCGCAAATGTCTGCAACGAGTGTGGAACCCCGTGCGGAGGCACAGTTGTGTAACCACACGTGCGTGGTATTCCACGTGGGCAGAGCCCCCATGAGCGTGCGATTCCATGTGTGCGGACCCCCTCGTGTGCGTATCCCCCCTGGGTGTGGAGGCCTATGCGTGCAGCCCCCATGTGTAGGGAACCCCATGCATGTGGAAACCCGTGTGTGTATATGCGCGTCTGTGTGTCTGTGTGTCTGTGTGTGGAATTCGTGTGTGTGTGTGTGTTGTTGTGTGTGTGTGTGTGTGTGTGTGTGTGTGTGTGTGTGTGTGTGTGTGTGTGTGTGTTTGTGTTTGTGTGTGTGTGTGTTTGTGTTGGTGTGAGTGTGTGCGTGTGGAAGCCCATGCGTGGCGAACCCCATGCGTGGGAACCTACGTATGTGGAGCCCAAAAGGGTGAGGGACCAGATTCGCGTGGAACATCATGCGGGTGTGGATCCCGAGCTTGTGGAGCCTCGTGCCAATGTGCGTGGAAGCCTCTGCGTGTAAACAGCGTGTGTGTGTGTGTGTGCTTGGGTGCGTGCAACCCCTTTCGTGGAACCCCATGGGTATGGAACCCCGTGTGTGTATGCATTTGTGTGTGGAACCGCATGTATGTTGAGCCCCACCTGTGTGGAAGCCCATGCGTGTAGAGCCTCATGCGTTTGGAGCCTCATGCGTGCAGAACCCCATGTATGTCGAAGCCTGTGTGTGTGTTTGTGTGTGTGCTTGTGTGTGTGTGGAGCCCTTTCTGAGTGAAACTCAATGTGTGTGGAATCCCATGCATGGGAACCTCATGCCTATGGAAGCCTTTCCGTGTGGAACCCCATCCGCCTGGGTCCCACGCGTGTAACGAAGCTTATGCGTGTGGAACTTGGACGTTTGTAGGTGTGTGCGTGTGGAAAGCGTGCAGAAACCCCTGTGTGTGCGTGTGGAGCCATGTGTGTGGATCCCTATGGGGGTTCAAAGGCCACGGCGGTCGGGACACCGTGAGGCTTCAGAGGTCAAGCCGTGGGAACCCCGCTCGTGTGACAAAGTTGTATGGAACACCAGTCGGTTCCAAATGCCATGATGTGTGGGACCCCATGAGGTGTCGAGCCCAATGTGTCCGGGGACCCATGTTTGTGGAAGCCCATGCGTGTACAAGTGTGTGTGTGTGTGTGCGTGTGTGCGGTTGTGTGTGTGTGCGCGTGTGTGTGTGTGTGTGTGTGTGTGTGTGTGTGTGTGTGCGCTAGGTGTGTGGAAAGCGGCGCGGGTGCCCCCCCCCCCCCCGTGCGCATGAAACCCAACAGGCGGACCCCCCATACCCCAAGGCGGAATCGGTGGCCTGACCCCTCGACTCAGGGGCAGCGCCTGGGGAACCCCGCATGCGCGAGACCCTGAGCGACGGGAGCCCAATCGTGAGAGTCGCGGCCCCCCGACCGCGCGCTTCGGGGCCAGCTCCAGAACGGAAACAGCAGCCCCACATGCACGCATTGTTGGGGGGAGCGAATACGACCTCTTGAGTGGGGGGAAAGAGGGTGAGCAGAAGAAGCAGCAGGAGAAGAAAGAGGATACGGATGGAGTAGGAAGAGTGGGGAGGCTGAGGGCAGGCGGCGGGGGCTTGCGCGACTTGGCCCCAAGGAAGGCGGCTGCGGAGAAGCAGCTTCGAGAAGAACACCAGGCGAGACAACGGGCAGCTGCCGAGAAGGCACGCGGGGGAGCTGGCAAACATTGTCACTCACTCACAGTAGCCATGTTGCATGACGCATCGGCTCAGCAGGGGGGAAACCAACAACATCAACAGCAGCAACAACAACAGCAACAGCAGCAGCAACAACGACAGCAGCAGCAACAGCAACAGCAACAACACCAACAGAAACCCAAAGCCGTCCACCCCCCCCCTTCCCCCCTTCTTGGTCCTCCCCTCTCTGTCCCTCGATCCTTGCCACCTCTGCCTTCGTTTCTCCCTGGCTGATCCTTACGCCCCTTCCTCGTCGCCCCTGTCTCGCTCCACCGTCTTTCCCTCGCCCGCCCCCTCCCCTCTGCTCCTCTCCTCCCTCGTCGCTCCCGCTGCCCTCCCCCCTCGCTTGCCCGCCCCCGCTTCCCCTTCGCGCCGCGGCAGAGGCAGAGAGGGAGGCGAACGAGGCTGCCGAGAGGGAGAGGGAGGGGGAAGCCGCGTGGGCCAACCTCGGGGCTGCGGAGAAGATCATGCAGGAGGCGGAGAGCGAGGACTCGGAGCTGGAGCCGGAGATGATGCAAGCACCGGCGGACGAGGAGGCCAGGGCGAAGGAGGAGGCAGAGTGGCCGGCGAAGGCCGCGGAGGAGGCGCAGGAGACCTTCTGGCGTGGTCGTCGCCGTCCTCGTCCTCCTCCTTGTCCTCCGTGTCCTCCTCCGTTGTCGCCTCGTCGTCCTCCTCATCCCGCTCCTCTTCCTTCTGAGCCTTCTGCTCCTCCCGCCCCCCCCTCCTCTTATTCCTCCTCCGCAGTATCTTCCTCATCTCCTCCTCCCCATCTTCCTCCCTCTCCTCCTTTTCCTTCACCTGCTCGTCCTTCTCATGCTTGTCCTTCCTCTCATCAGCCATTCCATCTTCCCCTCTTTCTCCCCCCGCCCCTCCCCGTCACGCTGCCTCCTCCTCCTCCTCCTCCTCCTCCTCCTCCTCCTAGTGCTCCTCCTGCGGCTTCTCCCCCAATTCCCTGCAGCTGCCACCGCGTTTATCCACCAACGGGGAAGTCCCGACCCACTCCAGCGGGGAAAAAGCGCAGACCAGCGGACTCCCAGGAGGTGCGCAGCTCCCCGGCCGTCCCGACGCCGGACCTCTCGCCGGTCTCCACGGAGGCCCTCCCGGCCGTCTCCAACGACGCCATCGCGGAGAAGCTGTCCGCGAGCTCGGCCGAGGGCCCGATCTCGACCGGGGTATCCGCAGAACACTCGGGCGAGATCACAGGGGCAGCCGCTCGGGTGCCGGCCACGGAGGAGGGCAGGTTGCCTGCGGACCCCGGGTGCTACACGAGGACCGAGGCGGGAAGACGCCGATGCCGCTGCTCATGTTGGAGAGCTCTCGTCGCCGCGGCCAGATTCTGCTCGAGCTTCTGGTCATAGTGCACCCCGGGAGGTACGGGGAGTAGCGGTATCGATACCTCTTGGCTCTTCCATGAGGATGCCAACTGGGTGCCAGAGCCACGGGGGCGGAGCGACGAGGTGGAGGCTTGACAGGTGGTCTCCAGGGAAGACATCTCTCACACTGGCGCGTTAGGGGGTGTTTTCTTGACCCTCTGCCCAGTCCCCGGCACTGCCGCAGTGCGTCCAGCACCACGGTCTGGGGGGAGGGGGCGGCGCTACGTTCTGCCCCCTCTCCAGACCCCCGACGTCGTTTTTCCCAACCATCCTGTGGTGTTGGGTCCTCGTTTTGAAGAGACAGCGCCCCGCGTTCACTCCTTCCTTCCTCCCTTCCTCCCTCTGCCCCCTCCTCCCTCCTCCCCCTCCGCGTCAGCCGCACCCATTTCGGCACGCCCCTCACACGTTTCGTGGCCCCATAGGGAGCTCCACCGAGGGCCCCAGTGGCTGCGTC